ATAATCAATCGTGTGTGAATGTGTGATGTATATTTTCTTTCATCTTTTTGAGATACCGCGTGTGATGTGCAAAACAAGAACACTACGTTAAGTTTTTTGGTTGAAGTTTTGTTGGATGTTGACTAAAGCTTTTGTAAGAGGCGTGGAAAAAGCAGTTGAGCATAGGCTGCATAGCTCGCTTGACCTTCATCATGCACGCTTTTAAGAAGTCAACAGCAACTCATCTTGCATTATTCAAATTCTAAGGTGATCTTTCTCTAAGTTAAATTCGTGAATATGAAAAGTCCATAGCTCTTATTCATTGAATAAAGCCTCAACAGTGATTCAAAAGGCAACAAAGTAGGGTCACCCAAAAAAAGCTGGCTTGAAGACATAAGGGAATGGAAAAAATCTTACCTTGCATTGGTATTCCATCCGTATGACCATAGAAAAACTGATTGATTCTAAACAAACACCGTTCCTTCAATTCATTTGGAGGTGGACAGCCATTTTGAAAGTAAAACTGCCATCACAGCAAATATTTATTATTTAACAAAATAAATACAGTGAAGAAGAAATAATGAATCAAAAGACAATTATCGACCTGTGGAATCGTCTCTTTAACTGGTTCCTTCATTAATTTCAGAGGAGAACCAAATTGAGAAGGCCCTGCCCTCTGCTTCACAGTTCTGGGTGAACCTGAAGAGCTTCGAGGTGAAAGTGGAGGTGCACTGCCAGCAGGAAACATGGAGGGCAAAGAGTTGCTTGTGGCAGAACTACTGCTTGAAGAAATTGATGTAACATTAAAGGGACCGGCCCCCTTGGCATTACTGACTAATGATTTTACCTGCATGTGACATCAACAACAACAAACCGCCGACTGGAAAGGGTAAGTGTATGCAGATCATGCCCCTACCTGGAGAGTAAAGAGGCTGGTTCCAAGAAACCCCAAATCTTTATGTCTCTAAGAATCAGTCTTAGAGACATAAAGATTGTAACCTTGATTAGCAATTAATAGAACCCAAATTGTGTTCGTAATTACCAAATAACAAAGAGCAAATTTTGTTTGTATTATTTGTTTGAATTGCATATTGCTAAGTTTGAACGATGATGTAGAGTACAATTTTTTTATTTGTCAATGTGAATTTATAACATGTAGATCGCAATGTAACTTATGAGAAAAATAGTGCAATACTTCTTTCGTCCCACTTTCCACTCTCCTTTTTTAATAGTGCAATACTCCCTCCGTCCCAAAGTAAACTTCCCACTTTCCTTTCTTAGAGGTCCCAAAATAAACTTCAAATTCCTTTTATGGAATGGATTGGATGGTCCATGTTAATTCTCTCGCCTCTACATAAATCTCAACCAAAGATTTTCACCTTTCTTAATCTACGTTAAAGTCAAACCGGAAAGTTTATTTTGGGAGGGATGAAGTATTTAAATCTTTGTAAATAAAATCCATGTTTTATAAACAGCATAGAAAGTGCTATTAAACGTGGAAAAAATCAATCTAAACTATTAAATTGTATAGAAAGTGATTGAAACAAATCTTAAAAAATACTTACCTAATTTGTACTTTGGAAATAGTTAAAAAGCTTATTAATATACCTTAATATGATTTTTAGTTACTTGCCTAGTTGTAATTTGAAAGGTTTTGTAAGCTTTCTCGGTAGTTCTTTTGTAGAGTAATAATATGAGGAATACTATTCTGCTAATGAAAATTGGGGTTAGAGGCTCTCTTGAAAATCCTCAATTCTTTTAGTTTTGGTCTCTTTCCTTTGGTCCATCTTCACAAAAGAGAATGTCATGTTTCCGAACCACAACAGGCATTTCATCGACATCGGCCGACAAAATATCATGTGAAAGAAATTCCATCATTGAATTGACCAGGTATCCAGTGTTTCATGGCATAGCAAGCATGTCTACATTACGCATATTTTCACATGGTTTTGGGTGAGCGGAAATGTAATTTTGGTGGCTTGATGTCATACACAGAACCAAGTAGCAGATGTCTTTACCACGAATTGAAGATTGAGTCTTTTGCTAAAATGGAAGATGAGCCTCATAATAGCACATTAAGCTTAGTCTGCTCCTTACTTTCTACGGAGTATTAAGTTTTGAGTAGTAAACGTATCAAATGTCAAATAGAAACAACCTCTCGGTTTTTCATGGGTAATGTTGTGTACATCTAAAGGTGTGTTTGTTGAGGAAAAGAGATGGGTGTTGATACCGCCAGATATCAAAATTCTTTTTTGGTGTTTGGTGAAGCCAAAAGAGATACCGAGTTTAATATCTCTAGATATCATAAATCTTTCAAATGGAGGGTTTTGATATCTCCTAAATTTGGGAGAAATCGATATGGAGGTTTGATATCTCTTTCAACCGTTGACCATTCTCCACCACCGACTACCATTGTCACCACTCCCCCCCCCCCGCCTATCAATAATTAAATCATGATTTTAAATTTCTCCAAACAACTTTGTTTTAGATTTCAAACCCCATATCATTTCTCCCAGATTTCAAAACTCATATCTTATCATACCTCCAAATATCTAATTTCTCTAAGCCTTGACCTTCATACACAATGGATCTAGGGTTAAATTTCACTTTATTGTTGTTATTATTGATGTCCAATAAGGTGAACAAAGCAAATTTAAGGGAAAATAGATAATTGATTGTGATTTATGTTTCCTATTAAGTGGTTACCGATTTTATGTTGGAACAATTTAGGCGTAAAGATGATAGGACTCAAGTTGGCTTAAGTAAACATAATCAGATCAGAATTCAAGTTCGCTTAAATATTTACATCGTGCCCTTGTAGTTTTTGGGTTTCCATCTTGTTTTTCCCATATAGAGACCCCGGAATAGCAATGTGAGGTGTGACATTCCAATGAACCAAATACACAGAATTAAAGATTACTTGATCTTCCCACCAAAGTTTCATTCTTTGTTTCTGATGGTTGGCTTTCCAACATCCACCATGGTCCCATCCTGATAGCTTCACTCTATATGTTTTTATTTACCCCCAATTTAATAACTCACTCTTCTACTTTTTACCATTGCATTTCTGATTCCTTTAGGGTAAACTATGTGTTTAACGAATACCAACCCTGAGATAGGTATGAGTTGGATGCAGTCCAAGACACTTTCTCCCCTTATTCCTACTACTTTTCAACTAGCAACTCTATTACTGCCAACAAATTAAGAGCAACCATAACAGAATCAAGTAAAAATCGATCCATTTCTTAACAGATCATGCAATTAAAAAAAGTACCAGCGCAGCCGTATCAGGCAGCGAGAGCCACCGATCAAAGAGCATCTCCACGACATAAGAATTCGTTTTGACGGCCGATGGGGACAGCTCCGGGAGCTGCAATAGCTCGGTGTCCAGGCGGCCAACATCGCCAGTAAAATCCACATCCATCACCTCCGCAAATCGGAATCAACACGCACCAAATGCTCAGATCGTCGGATTCTTCCTCTATCATTCGAGTAACCCTAACCACCGCCTCTTTCACGCCATGATAACTCAAACTTTAAATCGGAAGACGGGCAGTTCTGTTCCAAATCTTCGAACGGATCTTGTCTCGAATTTGGGTCAATCGGCAGGGATGGGTAATCCTCTTTGGGATTCAAATTAATAAATTTATGTTCTGTGTCTTGAGATCGGAGATGGGAATATACAGAGAGAAAAGATCGGCGAACCCTTTGCAACTGCAAGTGCGATTGTGTAAGAGGGAATATGGAGTGAATGTAATTTTTTTTTTACTCCGAAGGAGATTGGATCAAAGCCACGGGTCATAATGATCATTCCTAAACTTTTGATAAATATAGGGCATGTTTGGGAACAGTGATATATTTTGGCTTTGATCACTAGACTTTCTCTATGGTCTTTTCAAAAGCTAACACTATTCCCAAATAGATCCATAGCTAGGTTTCTTTCGACGAAAAAAAATTTTCACATTATATGACCACAATACATATGATGTTTAGTTTAAAAAAATAATGATTTTTTATGTTTCTATTCCCTCTTGAGCACCTTCTCTACCCCCACTCCAGTAGCTCACTTGCCCCTCTCCCTAAAATGCCGATTGGATAGAGTAAACATGGTAGCCAATCGACGTTTTGGGCAGGAAGGCTACTGGAACAAGAAGGGTTACGACAGTGGAATTATTAATTTTTTAGCAGAACATTGTATTAATTGTTGTCATATTATAACAACAAAATTTGTTGTCGAAAGAAGGGCACCCAATAAATATAGCCATTGAGGATAAATTTGTCAACTTTATAAAAAAGTGATAAAAATAGCCAAATGGAAAGTGGTTTTAGCAATAATCTTTTATGGAGTATTTTATTTTGTGTCATTCATTTTAGGATTAAAAAGAAGTTATAATGAAAAGACAAAACGCTAACAAAATGTAATAAAAATACATATGTTATTCGTTCTAAAATGATTTACCTCTTATCAATTATGATCTCTAGATAACTTTTATTTATTTGCATTTTTTATTGATCATTTGATAAAATAAAATAGTCTTATCTCATACTCCTTCCATCCCAATTTAAATCGTCTGTTTCAGTTTACGACGTTTGATTGAAAATATTTCAAATCATTTTATATGAAAATTATTATAGAATTAAAAAATAAAATTTACATACATAAAAACTACATCAAAAGATCTACAAAACTAGTGATGAATGGTGATACAATTATATTATTTTCTCAAATTACTAACAAGAATAAAGAAAATAAGTGAATAAAATTTAACTATATAAATAATAAATAGACAATTTAATTTGAGATGAAGGGAATATTATTTTGTTGAACTTTGGATATAGTTATTAATCATCTATTCCCTCCGTCCCATGAAACATTGGACTTTTGCTTTTTAGGAAGGATTTAAGGGGAGTGTATTTTGGTATTGAATTTCCAAAAATGTCCTTTGATGTGATGGGTAAAAGTATAATTTGATGGATAGATTATTAGTAAAAAGGTATGATGTGATAGTTATGATATGAAAAAGTAAGGGGTAAAAGTGACTTTTTAATGGAAATGAGAAGTGTCTTGTGGAACGAATAAAAAAAAGAAAAGAGAAAGGTTTGATGAGATTATTTTTTTATACTCCGTACCAATTTACAAAAGGAATTAATATTAGAGTGGGGAGGACTACACTGTTGGGAAAAACTTCAAGGCTGGAAAAACTTCGGGCGTGACAGAAGAGAAGGGATCGATGATGACGACGGCGACGGCGACCATGGAAGGCGTTGTGTTCAGACTGCCCCATCTCAGAACTGCAACTCGGAACCCTGCTACTTTCTGCACTCGGAACTCCGCATCCGTACACCGGTTCCGCTCCTTGTCGTTTGCGGCGTCTGCAGCTTCGCCTTCTCCGGCGGTCTGCGAGCAGAAATCCGAACCAGCTTCGCTTGGACACATCACCCGCGTCGACTTTCCCATCCTCCATCAGGTTATTCATATCTCCTTATTGTACAAGTCTTGATATGGGACTAGCAGAGGCTGTTTGGCTCGTGAATGTGAGGATTGAGGCGTTGGAATTGGATGTATTCCTTCCCAAGCTCTGAAGTAATCCTTCTAATTTTATCCAAACACGATCTAATTCATGCCCCCATTGCTTCTGGAGTCGACCCTGTTAACAATTCTAGAGTAGAAATTTAAAAAGGTTCCACCTTTGATGACATGTTGATTAATTTTGATTTCAGATTATGGGTCGGATAGAGACCTAATATGAAAAAAAAAGTTATTTCCTTAAAAGTAAACTCGAACCCTATTCTAGGACGAAAAAGGAAAGATGGAACTTTTTAGGGTGAAATGAACTAATGAAGTATATAAAGAACTATGATAAGCTCTATCATGACTATAGAAGAAGCATCATATGTTCTGTTCGAAACATAAATGCAGGAGGTAAATGGCTATCGAAGAAGCATCATATGTTCTGCTCTATCATGCTATATCTGTTCCGCTTCCAATACATTCTTCTTATAAATGCAGGAGGTAAATGGCTCCAAGCTTGTGTATTTAGACAATGCAGCAACATCACAAAAGCCAAAAGATGTCTTGAAGGCATTACAAACATATTATGAAGCTTACAATTCCAATGTTCACCGTGGTATTCATTACTTAAGGTGGTCGTCTAGCAAGACCATTGTCTTAGTTTTTTTTGTTCACACCATTTTTGTTTAGTGCATTCATTAGGGTAGTGGCGGAGTTTATACTAATACATTTGTGGCACGCATGCATAATGGTAGTGCAAAGGCAACAGATGAGTATGAATTAGCAAGACAAAAGGTGGCAAATTTCATCAATGCATCTGACTTAAAAGAGATTGTGTTCACAAGAAATGCTACTGAAGCTATTAACTTAGTGGCTTACTCTTGGGGGCTGTCAAATTTCAAACCTGGAGACGAGGTCGGTTTACATGCATATTTATATTAATAGAAATTAAATTAAAATTTTCAATTGCAAGTTCATTGAAGATCTTCTGATTCATTTTCTCACTAATTGTCCAGAGAGAATATCTACTATTGTTTGTAGATATCATCCTTATGATCCAGTCACGTGGAACCCATACTATGCAAACAGTCATGAATATAATGATCTTGAGACATGAGTGGATATTTTACAAGGAATATAATCAACTTGATTTTTTTCCCACTGAATAAGTAAAAGTAGTTGTTGAATTCATTCTGAATATGTACAGAAAAGAGTACAAGTCAGATGCTTTCTCTTGTATGCGAGTGATTCAAACATGTGAGTTAAATGGTAAATATTGAGGAATGTATCTTTTAGCCTCATGAACAGTGATACTAATGGTGAATGGCAGATTTTGTGTCAAATGTTAAATTTTTGGTCATTCGGTCATTCACCATTAGATAAATATGGCATTAACTGGTGTATTATCTGGCCGCTCAGTGTTACATTTCTTTAGTATTACTCGCGTATCTTTTAGCAACATAAGGTACTGAACATTTGCAGGTAATTCTTACTATAGCTGAGCATCACAGTGCAATAGTACCTTGGCAATTGATTGCTCAGAAGACCGGTGTTATCCTAAAATTTGTGAATTTGACCGACAATGAAGTTCCAGATGTAATGGAGTTGAAAGAAATGATCTCAAGGAAGACCAAACTTATTTGTATCCATCATATCTCCAATATGCTAGGTATGTGAGTGCTCTGTTTGTTTTCTACATAGGCTAGGGTCTGTGTACACCCACCCACCCAGATTTCACTTGTGGATTTAAGGGGTAGGTTGTTGAAAGTGAGTTCTTTGTATATTATATTTCGAAGTAGATAATGAAAAAAACAAAAATTCTATATAATGGAACATCTAAGATGCCTTCTATTTATAAGGAAGAAGCTAGGCGCCTATTTTTTGCTTCATACATGGTGATGCAGGTAGTGACTTCGTTAATATGCCAAATGAAGTCAGTGATAACACAGTAAATAGCTTCTAAGAAGCTCCTCCTCAGATGCATCAAGCAAACTGTCGTATATAACTTTTTCGATTTTAATGTTCCACATCACCTGCTGTTATGGTCACAGAATAAACTGCATGTTATGGGTCAATGTGATATAGAAGAAGAATGATTTGCGGCATAGGGGTTGGGAATTGAGCAGAAGGAAATGAATGGCAGAGAGGGAGAGGAAGACAAATTTTTCCAATAATACTTCTCTTTATTCAATTTCTTCTCTTCCAATCACATTAATCTTCACTTTATAATGGATTTACAGTTGTAATTTATAAGGAAAGACAATCACTGCCATTATTGGGAAATTCTTATTGATGCAAATTGAAAAAAATAAGAAAGCCATTCTAATGGTCATTCTTATCTTAGGCCATTGATTTCATAGATGACTCCTGACGCTTCCAGAAATTGGTCATCTGGGAAGAGTGTGTTCTCATCACCTGCCTAGTGCCTTCAGATGAAAGACATTTGAACCCTTGTTTAGACTTCAAGTGCTGCATTTTGGGGGACACACACACACACATACACAAAAGACACATGCATACCACACACACACAAGACACAAGCATACTACACACACAGTGTGTATGTACCATACAGGGAGACCATATGGCTTATGCATACCCGTGACCAGTCCATGTTGACAATGTGTGTGTGAATATTTTTGGTGTGTTGTCCAATTTGTGTTTACTAGCTTCATTTCTGTCTTTTTTAGCATGCTAAATTTGAGCTTGCTTATTTTTGGTTAACCTGAGCTCACTATTTAAGTAATTCTGTCCCCAAAAAAGAGTCATATTTGACCATTGTACATCTCTTTTGTTTCAGTAAGGTACAAGACCACAAGTGTACAACGATCATATATCACAAATGATACTAATATTTATTAAATTTTATTTTTCCTTTAACTACATTTATCATGTGCAACTTCTCTGAGATTCTTGACATTTTCAGCCAAATTACATGAAAATTTAAGTTTGTTTGATCAGAGTGCTCTTTTGACAAAAAGAGAACTAAAACAAGACTTCTCAATTTTTGAGGTGGGTAGGGGGGGGATGAGGGAGGGACAGTGGGAAAATATAATTTCTTGCATGCTTTTCGGGACAGTGGGAAAATATAATTGCTTGCATGCTTTTCTGCCTTTTTCATAAATCAAGGTTGTCGGTTTGCCGCAACTTGCCCTTACATTGTCATCGTATATGCAGCTTCTTTGCTTCCAGTTGAAGAAATCATAAGTTGGGGACGGCGCGTTGGAGCAAAAGTGCTTGTGGATGCTTGCCAAAGTGTACCACACATGGTAGTTGACGTTAAAAACCTTGATGCTGATTTTCTTGTTGCTTCATCTCATAAGGTGAGATCTTTGTCCTTCGCCTCAACACCTAACATTTCAATAACCTATTTGGATTGAAGGGCTAATCATGCTTCAGATGTGCGGTCCCACAGGCATTGGATTCTTGTATGGTAAGAGTGAGCTCTTGAGCTCGATGCCTCCTTTCATGGGTATGTATTCTTATATGTCTAATTCTACTCTGCATTTCCATACCATTTGTCCCCAAGAATCTAGATTGGAATATTATGTACTTAAGTGTGCACTTCCAAATTTTCTCGAGTACAGGAGGTGGTGAAATGATAGCTGATGTGTTTTTGGATCATTCAACCTTTGCTGATCCACCTTTCAGGTAGGTGTCTTGCATTATATTCACCAGGAATGCCCTGAAGTTTCAAAGTTCTTTTTGCCTCTCTCTTTCTCTCACTCACAAATTGATGATCAGATTTGAGGCAGGAACACCTGCAATTGGAGAAGCTATCGGGCTGGGAGCAGCGATTGACTATCTGTCTGGAATAGGCATGCAACAAATCCATGGTTATGAGGTATTCCCATTCCCTGGGATGTGTTAAGTGTCATTATTCCCATTACATATCAATGATTTTTCTTCCTATCATATCACTTCTCAGGTGGAGCTAGGACACTATCTATATGATAGCCTCTCTTCAGTACCCGGTGTTCGTATATACGGTCCTGCACCTTCACAAACTGTAAAACGGGCAGCTCTTTGTTCTTTTAACATTGAGGGCATTCACCCAACGGATATTGCAACTTACATTGATCAACAGGTATACAACACCACTATACTTCCGATAGGGGTTTCTAGAGATCATTAGGTTGTAGAGTCCTTGCTGGGACCATGTGTAAGTGCTATAATCAAATTTCCCTCCCACTCTGTTTAAAAGTTACTCCTTCTGTCCCACTACATGTCTCTTTTTATCTTTTTTTTACTATCACACTATTTTTGTTTGACACCATACTACAACAAACAAACCCAGTAAAATCCCACAAGTGTAGGGTCTGGGTACCTTACCTCTACTTCGAAGTAGAGAGCTTTTGTCCCACATCATATTTGTGTGGTTTACATTTCATTCGCGCTTTATATTTTTAATATGGATATCAACCACGCGGTCCTACTTTTCTTGATTCTCATGCCACTTCCCCATGTCCCCAAAAATAGTGTGACAGCTTTGTCGGGAATTTTTTCAGAAAAAGCATATACTTCTCGCATAACTTGTCCCCAATCCCTAGCCTCAGATTGGGTTTTACTAGATTTGTTTTATTTGGTAGGTCTCATTTCTTCTTTTTTTGAGCATTAATAACTCTATTACAATGTATGTCTATTCATACATTCTCAACCCATTAAAGCACATACCTCCCATTTGGAAGATTAATCTTATTGCCGTTGGACCATAAGGTCTTTGGCATAGGGTCTCATTTCTAATATTAGAAGCAACACTGCAAACCCCATTTTACCCCTACATTCCCACTAACAACTCTGCAATGTGCAGCACGGCGTTGCGATCCGATCGGGTCACCACTGTGCTCAGCCTCTACACAGCTATTTGGGAATCAATGCGAGTGCACGTGCCAGCCTTCATTTCTACAATACTAAGGAGGACGTCGATCACTTCATCTCTGCACTCAAGGACGCAATCGCCTTCTTCAATTCGTGGCGATGATCCGGTTTACCTGCCACTTGGTGATGGTGCTATATATATGTTGTTCACACATGACAAAGATAAATACAAATAAATAATGCACCAGAGGGAATCTATGGAGTTGGCAATTGTGTGGAAATAGTCATTTTCTCTCTTATCTCTTGCATCTTGTAAATCTCTCTTATTTCATTTTAAACAGAATTTGTGCTCGGGGTCATAAGCATTTCCAAGTAAATACTTCCCAATCCGAAAAGATAGTATCAATCGATTTCACGGAATTTAAAAAAGAGTTGAGAAATAAAATGTGTTTGGAATTTGTTTAGAAAAATAAAAGTTAGGAAGCCACATATTTTTTATCCTAGTTTATTACAAAAGTAAAAACATGTGAAGATTGATTTGGGATCACAAAAGACAGGTGTTGCCATTATTAGTAACATAAATATCTCCCAATTCTCCAAACATAGGTGGTATTTGGAAAAAGTCTCACTTTAAATTGCATGTTTACTACTCTGTATGAAGTACGAAGTACTTGGTAGTCCATATTAAATTGTCAAATTTTACATTTTTACTCATTTGATAAGTTATATGGTCATGTTAGGTCTTGTTTTGTACTCCGTATAACTTTGAAAGTAATTTCTAAATATATGTATTATTTTACTTTTAATTTTACCCTAATTTTTTAATAAATAAATTAAGAAATAATTTTAATTAAAGATAAAAAACAAGAGACAATTTATAGAGAGAGGATTTGTGTCATAACATTTGCTAACATTTGATAAACCTCCATTGGTAGAACATTACTTATTTTCTAGGCATATTATATTTCAAGTGAAGAAATTCCTTGTGAAGAATCTCTTCATTGTCCGCTACAATGTTTTTTCACTATGTGTCATAGTTTTTTCCTATTTATTTTGGCACCGACCGTCACATTTTTTTATGGCTTGATATCCCACCCTCTTTTAACTCTAGGTTACTAAATTCTACGGAGTAATTTGGATACTACCTTCGCCCCAAAATTACTCGGTATCTAATCGTATGAATATGCAATGTAATTTTTATGTTATTGATAATTGAAGCTCATCCAATTTGTCTAAAAAATCAAACTGAATAAATACTTAGAGACAAATATAGTAATACTCAGAGCATTGGTCATTTAAAGGAGAAGTGTGTAGTTATTTTGTGATGGATGGAGAAAACACTGCATTAAAGGGATAGTTAGATACAAGGAGTAACATATAATCATCTCTGCACATCAGCTTGGCATTGCATCTCATACATTATTACACTCACTTGTGCAACAAGCTCTTCTTCGACATCTTGGCCTTCTTCGTAGACCGGTTCTGTCAAAACACAAATATCACACACACACACACACACACAAAAGACAGCAAAACAAAGTCAGATCCTTAATTTGAAGTATATCCAAAAGTATATAATGTTAAGGAGAAGTTAAATAAATGTTTTAACCTTTTGCCTCTCTATAGCTTCGTAGTCGATCCTATCTTGCCACCTACTCTTCCGAAGTTTGATGGGTCGATTACCAACATATTTGCCTAAAATCAGAATGTCACATTAAGAGAGAGTTAGGCCCTTGCTTGCTTGGGATTTCATAGGGAAGGTGGGTGATGAACTCAACTTACCATTCATTTCTTTAAGGGCTGCCACAAGGTCTGAAGGGTTGGAAAAACTTACAAATCCATAGCCTTTAGTTTTACCTGTCCACTTGTCTCGCACAACCTGTGAAGATATTGCACACATAATCATCAAGAATTATTTTAAAAAGAAACATTTAACCACATTTTTAGACTCTATGGAGTTAGGATGCTTTTTTTTTGGGGGGGGGGGGGNAAAAATCAAGACTAGATATACATGAACATAAGAGCTTGGGAAACTATGGCACACTTACTGAAACTAATTAGATAGATAGATAAATAAATAAATACATAAACAAATAAATAATGATACCAAAAATATGTATGTATTTACACTAGAATTCGATAAGGGATGGCATCAAATGCACATGTATAAGCAGATTCAACATCCACCACAATCATTCCACCAGTTCATGAACCTGATTACTAAATTGGAAGATGGCTAGTACTCTTCCAATTCAATTACAAAGGAGAGATATACAATTGTCATCGGCATTCACTTTTACAAAGAAAAAAAGGCGTGAGTAGCACTGCTAAAATGAAAACAAAATAGATTTCTACCTTGACAGACAAGAGACATATGAGGGCTCCAAGCACTTGGAACAAAAATCTGAAGGGATACGCAAATGTTCATATATACCATTTAAGAAAACAAGTCCAGTAAGTTATCATATGAATGACTTCCATGAAACTTACCCTGGCCATGTTAAAAGAACGGAATCTTGAAAACGCCTTTGATAAAACATCATCATTCACCTCATTTCCAAGATCACCACAAAATAAGCGATAGTCATCTGCAAAGTAACAGTATCACAAACTAAATATAAGATGTAAAAAGACAAACAGCTAAATAGGACATTACATAAACAGACTTTGAACAACTTAAAGCTTTCCTTATAGCTCATAAAAAAACACATGTGAACTTATCCAATTCAGAAGTGCTTTGATCATCAACATATGAAATTGTAACTTTTCCAGATATCCATGATACTCGGTATATTTTTAAGCCCCATAATACATTTAAAGCTACCTTGCATTAACTGGACAAGTTTTCCCCATTTTCTTAGACCCTAAAGGAGGAACATAAGATGAGTTCATGTTACCTACAGTCCTACACCATTAAACACCGCAAGAAATTACCATGTTAGGATGAAGAGTCTCAGAGAGTAAGAGACATAGCTAGTTTCAATCAAAGACTTATTGTTCAATGATCATCCATCATAATACTAAACAACATATTACTTGGTAAAACATATTCGGAGTTCCAGTGGTGCAATGAAATGAACGAATAGGTAAAATCAATCATAATAAAATGAATGAAGTTAAAAAAACATACTTTCTGGCCAATCAGCAAGGGTAGGATCCTCCCAAGTTTGTCCAGCAGCTTTACGAGGCACTGCTTTCTTCTTAGCATCAGCTTTGTGCTCAATCTCACTGCTTGCAAGTGCAGCTTTCACATTCTCAATTGCTTCTGGTGTAATTATTTGTGCAACCCTTTGAAACAGTTGGTTTGCCTGTAATCTAAATCATTTAGGCTCATGCGTACACACTGATGTGCAACAATTACACAATTTACACATAATGACAAAAATTCTAACATTGAGAAATTGATCAGCATAGATAATCGCAATAAGAAATCATTAAAAAAATAATTAATAAACATTATTCTCAGCTAATATTTGGCATTTGAAATGATTACTTGTTGGTATTGAGCAAATGAGCTAGCAGGAGCTGGATATCCGGCGGGAATGCCTGAAGGAACAGACACTTGAACCTGGGGGAGAGCCGCGCCGATGTAGGGTTGCGGCGTTTTCTGTTGAAGGTGAAACGGCGTCGGAAAATAGGTCCCTTTGCGGTACGTGTACTGCGACAAAGAAGATTCGGGCGCAGGCGAAACCGTCGACATGGCGGAGGCGGACGATGAGTTCTCGATCGCGGCGACGTCCGATTAGAATCGATTAACTGACGAGAGATTAGAATCAATGAATTTTTGCTATTGAAGGAAGAACCCACAAAGAAAAAGGCGATCGGAAGATTGTAGGGATTTCTAGAAAGTTCCGCAGCGCCAAAGCGTGCAAAAGACGGTTGTTCTAACTACACCAGAACATTGGCCCGGTAGCGGACTCTCAATAAACAAAACTGGTTTAAAGTAGGCACGTAAACAAATCAAATATTTTAAATTCGATTCGCGATTTGTATTCGAATATGATGATTCGAATTCGCGTTATTCAAATACAAATTCAAATTCAAATATTATTTTTGATTCGAATATTAATCAAATACAAATACAAATAAGGATATATTCGATTTGGATGATATTCGAATATTCAAATATATATATATATATACACAGACCATGTTTTCAACATCAAAAGTCAAGCAAAGTAATATAGTATAAAGTGTATTTAAAAAACTAAGAATTCAATAAATTAATGTAACACGAAAATCTAAAGCATATGATTTTTAATAGTTATATTTTATAAAATATAATTTGTGTAAGATGCAGATGTATTAGTGTTTTTATATACGGAATATAGTATAGTATAAAGAGTATCGTAAGTTAAATTACAAATTGATGTTGGTCCATCATATAAATTACATAGTATGATTATTCAAATATTCGTTTATGATTCGATAACTATTCGAATATTAATCAAATACTTATTGAAATCTTATTTTGAATTCGTCTCATATTCGGATTCGGATTCGTATTCGAAAAAATTAAACAAATACAAATTCAAATATATCGGTATTCGCTTCGATTCGGTTCGTTTACATCCCTACTTCTAGGGAGCTACCAAATCAATCCGTCGGACCCGGTCGGGTTCAGTCACTTTGAATTTGGGTTACTTCGGGTTCGTATAAGTTTCAGTTCGGGTTGACAACTACTTATACATGATCCAATCTCACCGAGTTTCATTTATTTTTTTGAAATTATAAGTAATTTTTATAACCTAGTGTCAATATTACAAAAAAATTAAATATATAGAAATTTTGAAAAAAATATATGATAATTATGCGATATCATTTTTAGCGGGTTATTTCGGATTCGGTCAACTTCGGGTTCGGTCATCAAAACTTTTGTTCAAAATCCAATACTTTCGGATCGAATTTCGAGTCAAAAATAGGTCAGATCATTTTTTGTCAGGTCTAGCTGAGACGGTGGTAGTGTGGTACCAATACTAAGTTCAAGAAATTTGAAAAGGAAAAGAAAAAAAGAGAAGCAAAATATTTTTCTTATTTTGTTAGGGAAAAAAAGAAAAGAAAAGTTGAAGGAAAGGAAAAAGAAAAGAAAAAATATATAAGAGGAGAAAAATTTCCTCCCATTTTGATGAAGAAAGTGAGGAAAAACCATTTCTTTTCTTTTCCTTCCAAAATCGTTGAACCCAAACATAGTTTAATAGCAAAAACTAGAAGATACTATGGAAATAGGAAAAAATTGGAATAAACAAGAAGTATTGAAAAATTAGAAAAAACTGAATGAATTTCAAAAAAGTTATTTAAATGTATTTTACATACAATTCTTATTATAATTGTTAAAGTTATATGCATATACAGTCCCTATGATGTTTCATAAGTATGTAAATAATCCTCGAACTTTTAAAAGTTGTCAAATAGTCCATGTCGTCAAACAATCATAGCATAATTAGTCTCTATACTAGAAAATTTGTAAAATGTATACAACACACGCGTATTATGCCAAGACGTTAATCATGTAACAGTAAAAAACTAATTTGAGATTTCAGTTGGGATGTGTAGCTCTGAACCATAGTACAATACCTTCCATCTTTTAATTTAACTCTTGCAATGAACTCTTCGTCTCTTCTATAGTGATATTCTTAAATCATAGTACAATGTTTTAAGTGAGCTCGACATTACTCTATTTTTCAAGTAGCTCTATTCTAAGGCAATATCATGTGATAAAAGAGATAGAAAAAGATCACTCCTTACCTTTAACCATGAAGACAATGGTAATTTCATGAGATAATCTTTTTTTTGTTACATGCTTCATATTTTTACACAGTACGTCTATGGTTTGTGTGCTTTACATTTTCCTTAAAAAAGAGATTAAAATGAAAGAAAAATAATACTCCATATGTCCTAAAACTTTCTTCCCAGAGCACTATTCCAACTTCACGGGAATTTATATTTATTTGTGTTTTTTCATGGCTTATATGATAAAATAAAATATTCTTGTCACCACTTGTTTTGCTGAACTTTTGATGTAGTTTTTAAATATGTATGTTTTATTTTTTATTTCTATACCAATATTTAAATAAAATAGATTGAAAAAACTTGGGATTTTTCTTCGTTTTGCGCAACGGGAAGAAAGATATAGGAGGGAGGGAGTAATAGGTATGAATCACAAAAAAAATGACAAGGGAAAAAATGAAAAATTTAAAAATAGTAATAATAATAAAAATAATAATACGAGTAGTAATAATAATAATAATAAGAGCAATGCTAGGGGTACACCAAAAGTGTATCTCAAATGTACACCATCCCCTTCTCCACCACTCATTTTTATTTTATTTTATTTTTTTTTTGACTTTCTTGCCTTTTTTATATGGACAAGAAGTGGGTGGGGAACAAATGAGGTACACCTTTGGTGTACCTCTAGCATTTTTCTAATAATAATAATAATAAGTCATGAAAAACACATTGAAACCCTCAAGTCTTTTTTTTGTTTATATTGATATTCTGTTTCCTCTAGCTTATCATTCATTACTTCCCCTTATAACGGACTTAAACACATTGAAACCACCTTGACACTAGCTACATTTGAGGAGTTGTGCTCAGATTTTTTTAACAGATGCAAAATTCGTTGAGCGAAGCAAAATTTTCAATTCATTCAATAATACTGATGGAGGGCCTGTTTGGGAAAAGCGTTAGAAATTAGCGTTAGCATTTTCAAAAAGTTATCTACGAATGGCGTTTAGCGTTAACGTTTTGAAAGTAATCTGTACCATTAAAATTTTATCCAGAACGCTAATGTTAATCTCTAGCGTTATTTCCAAACAGGCTCCAAGTGATTCTTGTAGGAGGCTCAAGCTCAAGTCTCAAGATACTCATCTAACATTCTTAGGGAGTGTATTTTAAATCCAAGAACGAACTTAATTACCCTTAGAACAAACGACAGTACCAGACTATATCCTTGAATGTCCTCTTCAAATCGACATACTTGTGATACCTTCAGATAGCCCATGGATAATGCAGCTTTGTTCTTGAATCAGAACAAGAGATTCCAAGTATTTACCAGTAAAATATGAAGACCCAGACCCATAAATTCCAAGTTTATGAATGCCTTCCGTATTGTGGCAATACGAAACAAGCTCTCCTTGGTCAGTAGACATCAAAAGGTCACCATTTTCTCTAATGCCAACAATTCTTTGCATCCATGGAACCAATTCTATATGGTGCAGCCTACACCAAGATTCCACAACTCCATACTCTTTCATCATCCACATATCACAGAAACGGCCACCGTGAATCTCTTGATCACCATACCGTCCATACTTAAAAACAACGATTGTCTCACCAAACTCCATCATATTTAAGCTTGATGCATCATCATTGGCCAATTCATCTGGCAGCATAAGCTCCCCAAAGATCTCATCAGCCATGGAGAAAACTGTTATGTATTGCTTGTATTCCTCATTCTCCAGCCATTTGCCACTGCTCCAATGTAGTGCTCCATGGGCAAAAGTCGGAGGACTGGAACTGAAACTGCCCGAATGAAGATTCGCCCCAGCAGCCGATATCCTTCTCCACTTTCCAGTGATGACTGAAAAAATCTCAACATCTTGTGGGACTTTGGAAATTTCCAGTCCTGTCCCTCCAAACACAACTCTGACCACCTTGAGATCATCAGCACACTCTGGATTTGCGCCAAACCCAAGTATCGTCCTGAACGGGCATGATCTAAGAGTAGGAGGCGGTAAGGTCTTGAGCTTCTGAATGCTAGGGTTCCACAGGTGCGTAATTCGTGAAACGCGAACCAAGTTGTCGGATAAGCAAACGACGCCGTTATAGCAGCCAATCACGCGATAATGCCTGACCCGACATGGAATTGCTGGGCGGAGATCGAGAGAAGTAATCGGGGTGAGTGTTTCGTCCAGTACTGCGTAGGATTCCTTGCAGGATAAATCGTCGAATCGTCGGAGGAGGAGGAGGCTACCGGCGGAATTGTCTTTGGAGCGGGAGTGGCGAAGGTGGGCGGCGACGAAGGCGGGGCCGGTGATGAAGGAGAACAACGATTTAGAAACGGCGGTGAAGCGTACGATGGACCTGATGGGGAGCCTGATGATGATTTCGATCAGGAGCTCTTCCGGGAAATGGTAGCGATCCCGCATCTTTCTGCTTCCACCTTGAATGCTAAACCCTAGAACAGATATCCGCCCGTTGCCAGCCTGATGTCGGTTTACACTTTCCCCCCTTTAAAATGCTTAGAGCATCTCCAGGCAAAAAATGGTGGTGTAAATCTCAATTTACACTATCACTTTTATACTTTCACTTTTTTATACGGAGTATTCATTTTAACTACATTTTCTATATAATACATTTTTATAATATTTTATTACTTTAAAATCTTCAAATTAAATTAGAATATTTCATTATAAAAATATTTGATGACTAATTATGATCACATTTATGTATTTTGCGCTAAACATTAGAGGAATATCACTAAATAAATACGACCAAGAAAGTGTTGAGGGAGAAAGAAGAAGTACAAAGCAGCATTACCGGAAGGAAAAGATGTAGAGATCAATAATTTTGGACTCCATTGGAATGCAAACACGTATGATGATGAAAAAACAAGAGAAGAGCAAGCAGAGCTAGGGTTGAACGGCAGGGCAGAGCATAGGGTGAACAAAAGGGAAGAGAAGTAAAAATTAATTTTTTAATTGTTTACACAATCTAGAGTAATAGTGTAAATATAAACTATGCCTCAAGTTTTTTACACTACATTGGTCTTTACCCTTTGGTTTATCCTCCCCATTGGAGTGGCAAAACTTAAAAATAAATGGTAAAAAATGTAAAATTTAGCATATACCCTTTGGGTTGGAGATGCTCTTATAAAAAACTCTTTCTCTAAAAGTCTTAAATATTTGTACATTTTTTATTTTTTTGATTAAATTTCGTAATTTTTAATTTCAAATTAAATAAAAACTGTAAAATATTGATACAAAAATAATTATACTTGATTTATTATGTAAAATATTTAACAAAATTATGAGTATTATTTTATATACTCCCTCTATCCCTATTTTGTTTACAAAATGGGAATTACGATGTAAAATCCCCTAATTTTTAAAATTATTTTCTTTACAAATTAGTACATTAATAAGAAATAAAAATTACATATTAAAAAAATATGTCCAAAAACATTTTATTTTACGGAGTATCAAATAATTAATAAAAACATACAAATAAACAAAAAATATTGAGAGCAGATAGAAAATAAAATTATAATCAAAATAGGGAAAAGGGAGTAATTAATATACTATGTATATTATATTTAATTATAAATCAAAAGTTGAAATGATTATCTGAAAAAAATAAAAACAAGAAAAATACTCAAGAACAAAGATAATACTGGAAGTATGTTGAAAAGAAAGAAATTTCTTGAATTTATATTCTTTTCTTAAAAACAAAAAGTTGCTGGTACCCAAAAGATGGTAGCTCCACTTGTATTCCAAATGTTTATAATTATACTTTAATAATTCATGCTGACAAAAAAATAATACAAAATTTTGCGATTACACTCAGATTTTATGTGAGTGTGGGCAGAAAGTGTAAAACTTAAAGATTTAAAATACACCAAACATGAATGCATGAGTGTCTTGAATTTATATTCTTTTCTTAAAAACAAAAAGTTGCTGGTACCCAAAAGATGGTAGCTCCACTTGTATTCCAAATGTTTATAATTATACTTTAATAATTCATGCTGACAAAAAAATAATACAAAATTTTGCGATTACACTCAGATTTTATGTGAGTGTGGGCAGAAAGTGTAAAACTTAAAGATTTAAAATACACCAAACATGAATGCATGAGTGTCTTGAATTTATATTCTTTTCTTAAAAACAAAAAGTTGCTGGTACCCAAAAGATGGTAGCTCCACTTGTATTCCAAATGTTTATAATTATACTTTAATAATTCATGCTGACAAAAAAATAATACAAATTTTGCGATTACACTCAGATTTTATGTGAGTGTGAGCAGAAAGTGTAAAACTTAAAGATTTAAAATACACCAAACATGAATGCATGAGTGTCTTAATGAAAAAACTGACAATATGTGTTAATAGGATGAAGGGAATTAGTTGTGCTAGGGATATTCAAGATGATGACACCATTTTGATTTCAAATATTACACTGACACACACGGACAATAAATCTATGTGACACATATTGACAAACTTTTACTTTTCTACGTGTGTTTGTGCAAAACTTAGAGAAGTGGGGGTCAAAATAGTGCCACCATTTTGGCACCCCCTCGCATTTTAAAATACTCTTTTCCTTTTTTTAAAATATTTTCTCTTTTATTTTTTTGTTTTCTCTAAAATACTTTTAATTTTTATTAAAAAGTTATTTTTATCTCTATTTTTTCTTATCATACCCATTACATCATATTTTTTACTAATAATCTACTCATTGCATCGTACTTTTACACATCAGATCAAGAAGGAAATTGGAAAGCGAACCACAAATATAAACTTCTTATTTTTCTTAAAAGTCAAAATAAGAACCGTTATATGAAACGGACAAAAATTCAACTCTTTGTTTTTAAAATTGTACGTTTTTATATAATCATTACTTAATTCAATGAATGAAATAATGATCCCAAAGTTTTTACTTTGTATATGCATCCATCAAATTTAATAACGATTAACAAAGTATTTTAAGATCGAGACAAATCAATTAAGGTTCATCCACGGGAGTCCGTAATATAGTACTCCATAATATTTCATTTTTAAATATTTTTAGTAATGTTTTGATAAAAATAAAATATATAGTAATAAAATTACTCCGTAGTACTTAATTTGTGTAATTTTTTTAATAAACCCCGTCTTTATCAAATACGGAATATAATACTCTCTCTGTCCCGAAATAGATTACAATATTTCTTCACATTTTTGTCCTAAAAAGGATTACAAAGTCAATAAGTTTATAGTGAATTGACTCTTTTACCCTCTCCTTTTCTTTTCTGCCAGCCACTATTCACACTATTCATCCATGTGAGTGAGAAGGATATTTGTGGGATTTGGGGGTAATTTGGGGGAAAAAATTTAATTTGACTCTTCTTTAATTTCAACTAAAAGAAAATATTGTAATCTAAAGTGAGACGGATGAAGTATATGCTAACTAATTTTAATCTTTTAACTTTATATAGTTACTTAATAAATTAAATTAAAAATAATTTTAAATCAATTATTATAATCCCAAATAGTCCTATACAAAATATTGTTACTTGTGTGGCGCACAAGGCAAAGGCACTTGGTCACGTAACATTATAGGAATTGCACCGATTCCAAGTCAAACTCAAAACCGTCGAATGCACATAGTTTGGGCTCTTCGATAGTTTCCTTATTTTATTTCATCGATTGGTTCATATTATTCCGGGAGAAAATTTAATTTATTTCCGTCACTTTGCGTTGCCTCTATCCTAATCCAAGTCTGAATAAGAACAATATGAACATATAAACGAACTTGACAAAACTGCAGAATGAATTCTTCTAAACTGGATAGATCTCCTCCTTAATTCATCAATTTTATTCATAGGTAATCATCATCATAAATCAATAACTAAATTGTCAATTTCTTTTTGCGGTGGCGATAAATTCAAAGCAGAAGTAGGGTTAGGGTTTGCCTTTAGATCTGGACTACATTGTGAACAATCCTTATTATATAAATGTGTTGTGTCTATTGATAATGATCATGTAATCTGTGTTCATGATTTATAATTCTCTAATTATTTGTTTCTTGTTTTATTTTTCTAAAATCTGATGAGTTGTTATTGTTGTGTTGTGGAACATGCAGGTTCTTATTTAATAAATAGATTTGTTGGAGTTTGATCTGCTTTAGATTTCCTGACTGTATCTATTTATTGGATCAAACACGTGTAAGTTCATAATTTTGCTCGTCCTGCTTAACTATCTGTTTTTTATTCTGTTTGCAAATTTTCATTCAGAATATAACATTTATTGTTGGTAATGGTTTGTTTTTTTTCTGTGTGTTTTTTGATGTAAAAGTAATGATTCTGTACTAAATTTTCCTTCATTGCATATGATTTCAGTTAGACTATCCTTGATATTGATAACCTTTTACAATATCACCCTGCCTGTTTTATTTGGATGCAAAAATTTGTTGATGGTTCATGCCATATTTGCTATTGATAATCTTTAATGTTGTAATTTGGAATCATTACTTTCTTATGGTGAATGATAATTATATGCATAGAACTAATTAATGGATGTACTATTACACGTCTGATCTGTTATTTTTAACCGGGATTTTTTGGGACTCTACTTTATACTTATGTCTTTTGTTACCGTGCATGATTCTCCATGGAATCTTTAGATGAATTTGCTTCTCATGTGTTGTATTGTACCTGAAATTGTTCCATTTTGCCTAAACAGTTTCCATGGGGACCGAACTTGTTAGACATCACATCAAGGAAGAGACTGCAGACATCTCCATGCTTCCTTCTGGTTTTGATTCACTTGCATCCATGCCTAATAAGGCGAGCAGTAATGAAAATAAAACAATTTGCTCATCCCCTACAAGCAGCTTGCAATTTCAGAGATCCCCGGTGAAATCAGGTTGTAAACCTGAAGGCACGAGAAAAAAGTGTCTAAGACGCCGGTCAGGGTTAAAGTATGGCCGGGTTGATAGCAGTTCAGAAGATGAATCTAACTATGGTCAGGTTGAGACTGCTAAGTAACACTGAGACTTATTCCCTTCAAATTCATCTCTGTTTTTCTATTGTTCTTATTCATTACTTTTGCATGCAGAAATTTTCCTCAAGGCCTAACCCATCCAAAGGGGTTTTCAATGAGTATGGAGATGATGGAAATAACTTAAAGGTCACAGCGCGATGGTGTCCTGAAGGGACTTGCAGGCCTGATCTTCAGGAAGCTCCAGTGTTCTATCCAACTGAAGAGGTCATTATCTGTCAATTATTTAATTGGTTGCTTGTTTTTTCTGACCTTACCATGCACATCTCTTGTTTCTATAAATTACTATTATTACTTAAAGATTTTTAAAAAGTTCTCTAAGTTCAAAGGCTCAATTAATTAATTGGTATCCAGGAATTTGAAGATACTTTAACATATATTGAGAGCATACGGTCCAAAGCAGAAGCATATGGAATTTGCCGTATTGTACCTCCTACCTCATGGAAACCTCCATGTCCCCTCAAGGAGAAGAAGGTATGGGAAGAATCAGAATTTAGCACTCGTATACAAAGGATTGACAAACTTCAGAATCGAGATTCAATAACAAAAAAAGCAAAAGCTAATCATTATAAGAAAAGGAAGAGGAGAAGGTTCACTAAAGCTAACAATACCAAGACCCAGTGCGATGCTGAAAATGACGAGTCTGAGGAGAAATTTGGGTTTGAAACTGGTCCGGACTACACTCTGGATTCATTTCAGAAATATGCTGGTGATTTCAAGGCCCAATACTTTGGAAAGAATGAAGGGAAATGGGAGCCGTCAGTGGAGGATATTGAGGGTGAATATTGGCGCATGATCCTGAAACCCACTGAAGAAGTTGAGGTATCTTTTTCTTCATTCTTTTTGTAGAGCGTTTTTAGATTTGATTTTATTTGCTGGTTTGATTCAATCATGACATTATATAACTCGAAAACTTCATCTGTGCATACCACTCTTTGCTTGCTAGGTTCTTTATGGGGCTGATTTGGAAACTGGTACATTTGGCAGTGGGTTTCCAAAACAAGTACATCAAATCAGCTCTGCTGCTGAGATGAAATACATAAAATCAGGATGGAACTTGAACAACTTCCCAAAACTCCCCGGTTCAGTTCTTTCATATGAGAGCAGTGATATTTCTGGCGTTCTTGTGCCTTGGCTGTATGTAGGAATGTGTTTTTCTTCATTCTGTTGGGTATGGAACTAATGAAGTTAATAATTATTGCTTGAATTTCACTAGCTAGATTGCTTGTTATTTTGCTGGTTTGAAGTTCTTAATGCTCATGTTTGATGTTACAGCATGTTGAAGATCACCATCTGTACTCTTTGAATTACATGCATATGGGATCTCCAAAATTGTGGTATGGTGTTCCTGGGGCAGATGCTTTGAAGCTGGAAGCTGCTATGAAGAAACATTTGCCATCCCTCTTTGATGAACAGCCGGATTTGCTTCATAAGCTTGTGAGAGCATCTATCTGCAGCTTTA